GTTCTACATGGGTTACGAAGAAGGAGATATTTGGCTGAAGCTCCAAAATATCCTTTTTCCTACTTCTATTTTCCTTCCTTTGCTGCTTCTAATTCTTAGGGATTATACACTATGTGGCAGGAACCATGGAATTGTAGGAACTGACACAGCTGAAGACTTTTAGTAAGTCCCTGCTTGATAGCACCATAACCATCCCATATCTGATGTATCACTTCTTTGTAGCTGCTTAAAGATCTGTGATTCTCAGCACCATGCCACAGCAGCCTCATCCCAACTCTTGGTCAAGAGTGGTCTTCTTGCTGAATGAGCATTCTTTCAGCTCTTTACAGTACCCTCTTGCCCCACAGGAGGGTGGAATTGAGGGTCTCTAAGCATCCTTTCTGCTTCATGTTTACATACATTCATGTAAAGAATATACAAGAGAAATATTTAAAAATCTGACCTTTAGGGGAGGAAGGGGTTTAAAAAAATTTTTAAAAATAAAATCTGATCTTTTCGCACTTAAAAAAAAACAATAGATTTTTAGAAAGTGTTGTACTGAATAAAAGGAGCAAAATATAATCCATTTCAGTCCTATAGCCAGAAGCAAGGTATGAGTTTTGTAAATGAGTGTTAGGAAGGTGGATTCAACAAAAAGAGAGCAGGTCTGAGAGGGAAGAACCGCACTTGAAATTGGTTCACAGTGCCCTCTGGACAAGGGACATGTAAGGAAGTAATGAGCGGACTGAGCCTACTATGACCCTGACTCTTGCTGAGTAGGGGGAAAATGGAGAGTGGGAGAGAAGGGAGTAAAGTACCATAAGAGATAAGACAATGTTGCAAGAAAAGCAAGAAGGAGAAATTTGTGACTGACTCTCTTGCTTAAATCAGGACATTTCTAAGAAGTACTAAAGACTATCTACTGGAGTGATAGGCTTAATTATGTTAATTATTAGCCTGGGCAAGTTTTTACTGGTAAATCCTTTCGTTCTCTGACTTGTGGTCCATATATTTTTGTCATATATTCTATATTGGTTTTATGTATGAAGACCCCATTAATGCACTTAGAATTTTGCATAGCGAATGAGTTCCAAATATTCTGTAGACTCCTACTCTATTATTCAGTGTGATTTTAAAAAGAACATAGTCATGCAGATAACTTTTCTTACGATGTCATTATTATTGATTGTCACTGATAGTTATTTTTATCAGATAATGATGTTCACACCTTTGAAGTATTATATATCTATAGATTCAATTGAGAAAGAACATAGAGCTTGGATTATTTGGCTTTCTCTATCAAGACATCAGATGAATTTAAACTGAAAATCATACAATTTCAACTTTTGCCCTTTTCCAGGCTAGCTCAGATTAGCTCCAAAATCATCCTTAACTATGAAGCCAGATTAGGCAATGAAATGTAATTTTTTTTGAGACAGGGTCTTGCTCTGTGGCCTAGGCTAGAATGCAGTGGTGTCATTCGAGCTCACTGCAACCTCAAACTCCTGGACTCAAGCAATTCTTCTGCCTCAGCCTCCCAAAGTGCTAGGATTACAGGCGTGAGCCATCTCGCTCTGCTGAAATCATAATTTTGATTTAAAAATACTTAGTCATAGATGTTTTCAAACATTGATCAACATCATTTGAACAAAGCAACTGTAGTAACTTTAGGAGATGGATGGGGAAATTTGAACACAGACTGGATGATTGATATTAAGAAATTATAATTAATTTTTAGTGAGATAATGGTATTGTGTTTATATATTTTAAAAATTAGCCCAGCGTGGTGGCTCACGCCTGTAATCCTAGCACTCTGGGAGGTCGAGGCGTGAAGATCGCTCATGGTCAGAAGTTCGAAACCAGCCTGAGCAAGAGTGAGGCCCCGTCTCTACTAAAAATAGAAAGAAATTAGCTAGACGATTAAAAATATATAGAAAAAATTATCCAGGCATGGTGGTGCATGCCTGTAGTCCCAGCTACTCGGGAGGCTGAGGCAGAAGGTTCGCTTGAGCCCAGGAGTTTGAGGTTGCTGTGAGCTAGGCTGACGCCATGGCACTCACTCTAGCCTGGGCAACAGAGTGAGGCTTTGTCTCAAAAAAAAAAAAGTAGGTAATACCAGTAGGAAATCAAGTCTGTAGCTCCCAAAATGCGTATGTAATGCATATACTATTTCTTAAAACTTTTATGCATAAGAAGTTACTTTGTGCCATCTGAGAATTTTATGATGACCTTGTAGGTACAGAGCCTGGTTGGGGTGGGGGAAACCTGTGTTCGGCAGAGGCCACAGGGAAATCAGACCTCAGTGAACATAATACATCTTTATATGCCCGTGGCAGGCTGGGAGATTGAGTCCAGTAGGGATTTTGCTCACAGCAATGGACTGCATGATCTGTGAATAATGAACACTCTAGTAGCTGGTAATCAGAAGGCAGCACAACATAATAAAAGATTGATCATAAGCCAGTCAAAGATTTAAATTTCAGTTTGAACAATTACTAGGTGTGATCTTAACATGTGTCACAGAGCCTCAGTTTACTCATATAATCCCTCAAATAATGGGGGACCGTTGGGAGTTTAAATAAATTATGTGAAGTGTAAGGAAAGTGTTAACATAGCAGGTCTGTTTGTTCAGTCCTTGCATGTCTTCAAGGGAATCTGGAACCTTTGGGCCAACCCCTGGGAACATGGGCTCAGAATATTCTTATGTTACTGGTTGATAATTACGTTGTGTACACCTGGAGCAGTGGGCCATGCTATATCTGCTTGTCAGGATTACTTTGCACGAACATCAATATACATGATGTGCATTTCGTAAATTCGTTGGGACACTGAGTTTCAGTTGCTATGGCTGGTCGTATAGCATGATGTTCCTATGTGGCTGGCTCTCAATAGAAGCCTCAGACCCAGAGATTTGAAGATACTTCCTTGGGTAGAAACATTTTGCATGTCCATGTAGATTGCTGCTAGAGAGAAAGCATATCCTGTGTGGCTCCACATGGGAAAGTACTTGAAAGCTGTGCCTGACCTTTCTGGATTTCTTCTGATATATATCTTTTTTCCTGTTGCTTTTGGTTTGTATAATTTTGCTTTAATAAACCTTAGCCATGAATATAACCTGTTATTGAGTTTTATGAGTCCTCTTGGCGAATCAACAAACTTGAGGGTGACCTTAGGACCTGTGAGACATAAAGGGACTAGTACAGTACCTGAAAAATACCACATATCTAATATATGCTTGCTACTGGCATTCAATTTGTGCCTGCTAGATGTTATATGGAACAAACTATACTCTACAAGAATATAAGGTGAGAATCTAAGACTGCCTGCTTTTTTCAACCATACTCTTGGAAGAAGACAAGGATAAAATTTTATCAATGGAGAAATTAGAGGATACATCTCCAAGATTCTCCCCTCGGTTCCCACCCCTGCTGATTCAGAGTGGGGAGGTACGATGTAGGAAAAATATATAAAAGAGTAGACCTCCAACTGGAGTCTTTTAAGAGTGCATACCAGGTCGGGCATGGTGGCTCACGCCTGTAATCCTACCACTCTGGGAGGCCGAGGCGGGCGTATCGTTGGAGCTCCGGAGTTCAAGACCAGCCTGAACAAGAGAAAGACCCCCATCTCTACCAAAAACAGAAAAAATTAGCCAGGCATGGTGGCACATGCCTGTAGTCCCAGCTACTCGGGAGGCTGAGGCAGAAGGATTGCTTGAGCCCAGGAGTTTGAGGTTGCTGTGAGCTAGGCTGATGCCACGGCACTCTAGCCCAGGCAACAGAGTGAGACTCTGTCTCAAAAAAAAAAAAAATTCATATTAGGGAAAACTCTTTTACCATTTTGAAGGATAACAAAAAGAATAGAAAGACTTGTTGAGAGTTATAAAGATTAGAACACTTAGACTAATATGATGCTCCAGATGTAGGTACTGTAGGCTGGATCTTCATGTTAAGTAGCAACCACTAGGCCAGGAGCGGTGGCTCACGCCTGTAATCCTAGCACTCTGGGAGGCTGAGGCGGGTGGATTGCTCGAGGTCAGGAGTTCGAAATCAGCCTGAGCAAGAGCAAGATCCCGTCTCTACTAAAAATAGAAAGAAATTAACTGGGCAACTAATATATAGAGAAAAAATTATCTGGGCACGGTGGTGCATGCCTGTAGTCCCAGCTACTCGAGAAGCTGAGGCAGCAGGATTGCTTGAGCCCAGGAGTTTGAGGTTGCTGTGAGCTAGGCTGACACCACAGCACTCACTCTAGCCTGGGGAACAAAGTGAGACTCTGGTTAAAAAAAAAAAAAAAAACAAAAAAGTAGCAACTACTAGAGTCAATGGTGTTAGAAGTGATTGGTTATCAGAAATTTTCCCAACTCAGCCAGAACCAAGCACCCAGAATATCTTAGTCTGTTCAGGTGGCTATAGCAAAATACCATGAACTGGGTGGCTTATAAACAACAGAAACTTCTTGTTCACAATTCTGGAGGCTGGGAAGTCCAAGATCAAGATACCACCAGATTCAGTGTCTGGCAAGGGCCAGCTTTTATGGTTCATAGAGGGAGTTTTTTGGCTAGGTCCTCACATGGTGGAAGGAGTGAACTCCGGTCTCTTTAACCCTTTATAAGGGCACTAGTCTTATTCATGAGGGCTCACCCTCATGAACCAATTACCTCCCAAAGCCCCACTTCCTGATGCTATCACATAGGGGATTAGGTTTCAAAACATGAATTTAGGGGAAACATAAACATTCAGCCCATAGCAGAGAGTTATTTCAAATAAGCGCTGGGCACTACAGAAAAAAAGACAGTTTTAAACTGTGAGGACTGCACATAGACATTAAAAACTAAACTTAATTGGATTGGGACTTCAGTTGAGAGCTAATCCAAGGAAAGGAGGAGTCCAGGGTACCCATCTTGCAATTCCTTTCTAGGTTTATGTGTGTGTGTGTGTTTGTGGTTCCCATACAAGTGAGCAGATCTAAGTAAGATACATAAAAAGAGCATTTCACGCTAAAATACAATGACACAACAATAATTTGTTATGGCATGCATTTAATTTCTGTTTTCTAAATAAATTGCCTCCAAGATGGATAGGGCTAATCTCAGTAGTGATCACAACTGGATTTTTCCTCTATCAGTGTCTTAAAAGATGATGAGCATAAAATAGTTGGTATAAGTTTGCTCCTTCACAATTGGATTTTATTTTTATTGAGCCCTTAATTATTTGGAGTCCCTTTAAAGATGACTTCATTTTGACTCACATTGCAAATAATGGTTATCTCCCTGTCACTGTCATCATCACTGTTATATGTCATCATATCACTGTCGCTCATATTATCATGGTATGTATTGCCCCTGGAATCTACCTTATGAAAGGACCTGGGAAAATACTTCACTTTACTAGAAACAGGTAGGTTTTGTGCTTGTTTCTTCTTTGTCTCAGAAATATCATTGAGCAACGGCTCAGAAAAAGTTTGGCAAACAAGGCATCTTTCCTTGTAGCATTGACAGGTATTGGCTAATTGAGGCCTAGATAACAAGGCTGCCTTGCCTATACTCACTGATCTTTTAAGACGTCTGGGTGGTTTGGCCAATTTCTGTAGCCTGGATGACTTGGGTGGCAAGATTTGATTTTGTGGATAAAGTGGACACGGTGTCTTGGATGGCGGCCTGGCTGGATATGATAGACTGGCTGGCTTATCTGTATTGAAGGTACTGACTAGCTTAGGGGCATGGGATAGCTTACATGATTTTTTAAAAGAGCGTTTTCTGTATGACTTTTCCAAGTGAGATGACCTGAATAATTTTTTTGAGCTTGATGGTTTGGATGACTTTTTTGGACTTGATGAACTGATTAACTTTTCTGTACTGGATGGTATGGATGACTTTTCTGGACTTAATGGCCTAATTAACTTTTCTGTACTGGATGGTATGGATGACTTTTCTGCATTCAAGGGCCTAGATAACCTGTCTACAGTGGATAGCATAGGTTGTTTTTCTGGACTGCAGAGACTGGCTGTTTTGGATTCACTGAATGACATTTTGGATGACCTGGATTTCTTGGCTGCTACACCGTCTTTCTTGACCCTGAAAGTATAGAAAATTTAGAGTGTAACATCAGAAAACAGAATACTGTGTCAGCTTAGACTTTTGGTCCTTTTTGGGCTCTAGTAAGAAAACTGAACACAGTAAGAATTGGAGTATGGTGAAAGCCATGACTCATGTTACAGATATGAACTCATGTTGAATGCTTTTTCTTAAGAATATTTTACTAATTCAACCACATTAGATGACCATATAGCCTATAAATGGAATGACACATAGTTGTTTCAAATCTACTGTCGAGAGAGAAAGAGAGAGAGAAAGAGAGAAATGTCTCACTTATTCCAGAAATTAAACATTTTATAAAAAAGTCACAAACTGATAACATGTCACAAGAAAATAAAAACCTCTTTACAACGGAAGTCATTGTTTTCCTATCATATTTACAACATCAGGTTATCTATTCATGCATATAAAAATTCATAATATTCCTCTAAAACTAAAGGAATAGAGCACCGGTACCACATTTTTGTCACAAGTCCTTGGATTGGGAAATTTTTAGGGAACTAGCATATTAGGGCCAATCTGATTCTCCAATATGAAAGGCAGGTACTGAGATCATGAGAATAACAACAGTGAATAATTTTTCAGAATATTAAATCTTAAAATGACAGATTATCCAAAACATTTTATTGTCTTTGGAAAATAATGACCCAACTCTCTCTCTCTCTCTCTCTCTCTCTCTCTCTCTCTTCATTTTCTCATTCTTATTCAGATACTCATGCCCACTTTTCCTACCCTGAATTTATAATTAAATTAATAGCCTAGAGTTCAGCTGAACCCTGAATAGGAAACAGCCATGGATAAAGTTGATAATATACTTGAGAATCTTTAAGAGCCGATTTTTTTCACTACCCCACCCCCAAGAGCCGATATAATTTAAGTGAAAGTATCCACCCAAAAGAGATTGGAAGCTTTTTAGAAATCTAAAGTTAACATTAAGTAACCTGAACAACAATGAAACTTCCACTATATGTATACACACACATGCCTGTATTCTTAATTTAAAGATGTAAAACTTACATTCCTGCTTTGGGGGCATCATCACTCATACAATTAAAATGGAGGAAACAAAAACAGGTAGAGACAAAGGCTATGATCATAACACCAATTACGATAATGAGTAGACGTCTCCTAAAACTGTCCATTTTTGTCTCCATTGATTCAAGGGGCTTAGCTCCTGCAAAGAGATTGTATCATCAAAGAAGGTGTTAGGTAACCTAGTTTTCTTCCACTTTGATAGTGGTTTGTCACTATAGATCAAAATCAAATCAATGATTTTTAAAGCCTGATAAGTGTTCCATTGTTTGTTTTTTTTCTTTTTCCCTCTATCAAGTCCCCAGCTACAGTCTAGAAGTCAAATCTGGGAGGCATCTCTGGCTAATCCAAACCATGACCTGGCTTACCCCTGAACCATTACATTATCTAGGTTTTCTAGTATGTGTATCATTATGTCATGCTTGTGAGTGCACTTGAGTGATAATGTGTGTGTGTGTGTGTGTGTGTGTGAATGTGTGTGATGGGAAGGGGATGGGACAAGAGCAAACCCTTGTTAAAAACCTACTATATGTTGGCCGGGCGCGATGGCTCACGCCTGTAATCCTAGCACTCTGGGAGGCCGAGGCGGGCGGATTGCTCCAGGTCGGGAGTTCAAAACCAGCCTGAGCGAGACGCCGTCTCTACTAAAAATAGAAAGAAATTAATTGGCCAACTAAAAATATATATACAAAAAAATTAGCCGGGCATGATGGTGCATGCCTGCAGTCCTAGCTACTCAGGAGGCTGAGGCAGAAGGATTTCTTGAACCCAGGAGATTGAGGTTGCTGTGAGCTAGGCTGATGCCATGGCACTCACTCTAGCCTGGGCAACAAACTGAGACTCTGTCTCAAAAAAAAACAACAAAAAAAAACCTACTATATGTTAAGTCCCATGCCAGATCTATTCATATAATATTATCTAGTTTGATTGGGAGAGGGTAGTGGATTGGGTGGGGAAGGAGGGTGAAAGGGAACCATAAGTCTATACTCTTTATGCTTGTATTTTGCTTGGGTTTTTCACAAAAAAGTCAAAATATCAGCTACTGTTCCAGAAACTCTTGAAGACCTACTAATGGTAACACCAATAGTGACAGATTTCTTAAACACAGTAAGATTTTCTAGTTAAGTGCTTGAATCTATAAATAGATCATAATTTATAAGTTTTAAGGTTAAGTACATACCTGTAGTAGAAGATACATCACTTTGGTTTGAATTTAAACAATTAGATGTCCAAATGGACAAAAGTATGATATAAATAAAAAGATTCATGTCCAGGGCTTCATTCAAATGTTTCTTCTCCTAAGGTAACTACTGGCTTTTATATGGTTCAGTATGTTCCAGGGGTTTATGACATCATTATCAGTTTGTGTTATATTCTGACACCATGGGGAAGGATAGCTTCTGGGGACAAACTTTATCAAATGATTTTTAATCATTTATTTCTCCTTCCTATCGAATTAAAAACAAGAAAATTGAGGCATTATTAATCAGAGAAGGAAGTATTTAAAGAAGGTAAGGGAAAATGGGATAGCTCCAGAAATGGAAGAACTATTTCTTCTTATTAAATGATAAAGAAACACTTTGTAGCCTACTATGGACTCAATGTTTGTGTTCTTTCAAAATTCATATGTTGAAATTTAATCCTGAATGTTATGGTACATGGAGGTGAAGGCTTTGAGAGGTAATTAGGTCATGAGGATGGAACTCTCATGAATGGAATTAGTGCCCTTGTAGGAAGAGGCTTGAGAGCTAGCTTGTTCTTTATACCACATGAGGATACAAGGAGAAGTCAGAAGTCTGCAGTCAGAAGAGAACTCTGACCAGAACCCAACAGTTCTGGTACCCTGATATCAGACTACTAGCTTCCAGAACTGTGAGAAATAAATTTCTGTTGTTTATAAGCCATCCAGTTTATGGTAATTTGTTTTATCAGCCTGAAGAGACTAAGACAGAAATTGGTACTAAGAAGTGGAGTGCTGCTGTAACAAATACCTAAAAATGTGAAAGCAGCTTTAGAATAGGGAAGTGAGTGGAGGCTGGATGAGTTTTGGAGTGCATGCTAGAAGCTGAGATTGTCATGAATGGACTTTTAAAAATTGATACAGGCTGGGCCCAATGGCTCACGCCTGTAAGCCTAGCACTCTGGGAGGCCAAGGTGGGAAGATCGCTCAAGGTCAGGAGTTCAAGACCAGCCTGAGCAAGAGTGAGACCCTGTCTGTACTAAAAATAGAATCCAATTAATTGGTCAACTAAAAATATATAGAAAAAATGAGCCGGGCATGGTGGTGCATGCCTGTAGTCCCAGCTACTCAGGAGGCTGAGGCAGAAGGATCGCTTGAGCCCAGGAGTTTGAGGTTGCTGTGAGCTAGGCTGACGCCACGGCACTCACTCTAGCCCCGGCAACAGAGTGAGACTCTGTCTCAAAAAAAAAAAAAAAAAAAAATTAATACAAAGCCAGAATGGTGGTTCATGCCTATAATCTCAGCATTTTGGGAGGCCACAGCAGAAGGATCATTTCAGGCCAGAAGTTCAAGTCCAGCCTAGGCAACATAGTGAGACCTGTCTTTACCCAAAATTAAAAAATTAGCCAGGCATGGTGGTGCGTGCCTGTAGTCCTAGCTACTTAGGAGGCTGAGACAGACAACTCACTTGAGCTCAGGAGTTTGAGGCTGCAGTGAGCTGTGATTGTCCCACTGCACACCAGCGTGGGTGACAGAGTGAGACCCCTGTATCTAAAAATTTTTTTAATTCATAAATTGATACATAATAATAGTACATATTTATGGGGTAAATGTGATATTTTGATACAGGTATACAATGTATAATGATCAAATCAAAGTAATTGGGATATTCATCACCTCAAACATTTATCGTTTTTTTGTTTTTTTGAGACAGAGTCTCGCTTTGTCGCCCAGGCTAGAGTGAGTGCCATGGCGTCAGCCTAGCTCACAGCAACCTCAAACTCCTGGGTTCAAACAATCCTGCTGCCTCAGCCTCCTGAGTAGCTGGGACTACAGGCATGCGCCACCATGCCCGGATAATTTTTTCTATGTATGTTAGTTGGCCAATTAATTTCTTTCTATTTATAGTAGAGTCGGGGTCTCCCTCTTGCTCAGGTTGGTTTTAAACTCCTGAGCTCAAACGATCTGCCCACCTCGGCCTCCCAGAGAGCTAGGATTACAGGTGTGAGCCACCGTGCCCGGCCCATTTATCGTTTTTTTTTTTTTTTTTTTTAGAACATTCTAAATCTTCTCTTTCTCTATTTTGAAATATACAATAAGTTTCTCTATTTTGAAATATACAATAAATTATTAATAACTATAGTCACCTACTGTGCTGTCAAACACTAGAACTTATTCATTCTATCTAATCATATGTTTGTACCCATTAACTAACTCTCTTCACCACTTCGCACCATTCCCAGCCTATCATAACTACCATTCTTCGTGCTACCTCCATGAGATCAACTCTTTTAGCTCCCACATTTTAGTGTGAACATGTAATATTTGTCTTTCTGTGCTTGGCTAATTTTACTTAACATAATGTCCTCCAAGCACATCCATGTTGCTGCAAATGACAAGATTCCATTTTTTTGGCTCAATAATATTCTATTATGTAAATATATACCCCATTTTCTTTATCCAGTCACTCAATGATAGAGACACTTAGGTTGATTCCATATCTTGGCTATTGGGAATATTGCTATGATAAACATGGAAGTGCAGATACCTATTTGATATACTGATTTATTTTCTTTTGGTTTTTTTTTTTTTTTTGGTTAGTACAAGAAACATATTTTAATCCAGCCCTGGTAAGAAGAGGATTCTGGTTATAAGTTTAAGGAAATTTAACAGCATCACTGCAGTGGTCATTTAATGCTTCTTTTGGCTAGAACAGAGTGAATGATAGACTGGTGATAGGAAAAGTATAAGAAGCTTTTCTTTTTTGTCATTTTGTTTTGTTTTGTTTTAATTTAAAACATAAAGGAGTACAAATGTCTTTCTTACATGGATACCTTGTATAATGCTTAAGTCAGGGCTTTTGGTGTGCCCATCAACAGAATAAGTTTCCTTGTACCCAGTAGGTAAATTTTTATCTCTCACCCCACTTCCTATCCTCCCCCTTCTTGGTTTCCAATGGCCTTTACATCTATGTGCCCCTGCATACTGATCATCTAGCTCCCACTTATTAGTGAAAACATGTGGTGTTTGGTTTTCCATTCCTGAGATACTTCACTGAGGATAATGGTCTCCAGTTCCATCCAAGTTCCTGCAAATGACATTATTTCATTCCTTTTTATGGCTGAGTAGTACTCCATGGTAGCTATATATACCACATTTTCTTTATCCATTCATGAATTGATGGGCACTTAGGTTGATTCCACATCTTTGCGATTGTGAATTGTGCTGTGATAAACATTTGAGTACAGAGGTCTTTTTGATAAAATGATTTTTTTTTCCTTTAAGGAGATACCCAACAGTAGGATTGCTGGTTCAAATGGTAGGTCTACATTTCTTTCTTTGAGGAATCTTCATACCATTTTCCTTAGAGGTTGTACTAATTTGCAGTCACACAAACAGTGTGTAAGTGTTCCTTTCTCTCTGTGTCTATGTTTTTTTGACTTTTTAATAATGTCTATTCTGATAGGGATAAGGTGGTAGCTCATTGTAGTTTTAATTTGAATTTCGCTGATGATTAGTGATTTGAGTGTTTTTTCATATGTTTCTTGGCTATTTGTCTATCTTCTTTTGAAAAAATTCTTTTCATGTCTTTTTCCCACTCTTTTTTTTTTTTTTTTTGACACAGAGTCTCACTTTGTTGCCCAGGCTAAAGAGAGTGCCGTGGAGTCAGCCTAGCTCACAGCTACCTGAAACTCCTGGGCTCAAGCAATCCTTCTGCCTCAGCCTCCCAAGAAGCTGGGACTACAGGCATGCGCCACCATGCCCGGCTAATTTTCTCTATATATTTTTAGTTGGCCAATTAATTTCTTTCTATTTTTAGTAGAGACGGGGGTCTCCCTCTTGCTCAGGCTGGTCTCGAACTCCTTAGCTCAAGCAATCCTCTTGTCTTCCCCTCCCAGAGTGATAGGATTACAGGCGTGAGCCACCATGCCCGGCCGCAATGAACATTCTGATAGACATAGTCCCTGACTTCAGTGAGTTCAAAATCTAATGGAGGAGACAGACATGTACATAACCAATCACTAGGCAGTGTGAGTGTGTACTGTTAGGCGAGCTGTGGTGTTCTTACAGGGTATGTGCCACCACAGAAAAAGAGTATCTATTTAGAATGGCAACTCCTGGAGGAGATGACTTTTGAGTTGAATTGGGATTTTTGTTTTGTTTAATATGAGTAGGACTTCCTTGAACCCCAAAAGGAGGGAAAGGACATTGGATTGTAGACAGAGAAGTCAATATGTGGAAAGCATGGTTGAGGGAACTTCATTTCCATATGGCCAAAATGAACAATGTCCAGGGCTGGAGGTGGAGGCAGAGGTAAATTTGGAAATAAGGCTAGAGTGGGTCAGCAGGGACCAGGATATGAAAGGCTTGTGTGCTAAAGGCCTTTCTTTAATTCTATTTCCTCACCTCTAAAATGAATAGAAAAGAGATGAATGAACATGTCCTATAAAAGTTGCAGTCTTTGAAATGCAGTTGGGGCCATTGGAATAGAACAAAATTAAATATTCATTGGAAAATACAAGTCAGTTTTACCCTAAACTCTAAATAATCCTGCTCCTCAAATACTTTTTAACTGTATAAAAATAAGAACATGTTATTTTATTGCTTTTTGAATAAACTGCATTTTAAAATTTGAGCAGGGGGGAGGGGGAGCATGGACAATATACATAACCTTAACATTTGTACTCCCATAATATGCTGAAATAAATTGTTAAAAAAATAGGCCGGGCGTGGTGGCTCACGCCTGTAATCCTAGCACTCTGGGAGGCCGAGGCGGGCGGATTGCTCGAGGTCAGGAGTTTGAAACCAGCCTGAGCAAGAGCGAGACCCCGTCTCTACTATAAATAGAAAGAAATTAATTGGCCAACTAATATATATATGTATAGAAAAAATTAGCCGGGCATGGTGGCGCATGCCTGTAGTCCCAGCTACTCGGGAGGCTGAGGCAGCAGGATTGCTTGAGCCCAGGAGATTGAGGCTGCTGTGAGCTAGGCTGACGCCACGGCACTCACTCTAGCCTGGGCAACAAAGTGAGACTCAGTCTCAAAAAAAAAAAAAAAATAAAAAAAAAATAAAAAATCTTACATATATTCACACATTGTTGAATTACAAAAATAAATA